CCAGAGCCACCTACCCCACCCCATAGGAACCCCTCAATCCCCCCATATCCCAACCAGAGCCCCCCTATGGGGCGTGGGTGGGGATGGGGGGTACCGGGGGTACCCAGCACAGGGCACCCCCATAGATCCCCCCACACAATGCACCCAGAGCCACCTACCCCACCCCATAGGAACCCCTCAATCCCCCCCATAGCCCAACCAGAGCCCCCCTATGGGGTCAGTGTGCATCCAGCACAGGACACCCCCATGGATCACCCCACACAATGCACCCAGAGCCACCTACCCCACCCCATAGGAAGCCCTCAACCCCCCATAGCCCAATCAGAGCCCCCCTATGGGGCGTGGGTGGGGATGGGGTATGTCAGGGGGCACCCAGCACAGGGCACCCCCATAGATCCCCCACACAATGCACCCAGAGCCACCTACCCCACCCCATAGGAAGCCCTCACCCCCCCCACAGCCCAATCAGAGCCCCCCTATGGGGCGTGGGGGGGGGTACAGGGGGGATTAGTGTGCACCCAGCACAGGACAGCCCCATAGATCCCCCCACACAATGCACCCAGAGCCACCTACCCCACCCCATAGGAAGCACTCAATCCCCCCCATAGCCCAACCAGAGACCCCTATGGGGCGTGGGTGGGGATGGGGGGTACCCAGCAGAGGGCACCCCCATAGATCCCCCCACACAATGCACCCAGAGCCACCTACCCCACCCCATAGGAACCCCTCAACCCCCCCATATCCCAACCAGAGCCCCCCTATGGGGTCAGTGTGCACCCAGCACAGGACACCCCCATGGATCACCCCACACAATGCACCCAGAGCCACCTACCCCACCCCATAGGAACCCCTCAACCCCCCCATATCCCAACCAGAGCCCCCCTATGGGGTCAGTGTGCATCCAGCACAGGACACCCCCATGGATCACCCCACACAATGCACCCAGAGCCACCTACCCCACCCCATAGGAACCCCTCAACCCCCCCATATCCCAACCAGAGCCCCCCTATGGGGCGTGGGTGGGGATGGGGTATGTCAGGGGGCACCCAGCACAGGACACCCCCATGGATCCCCCCACACAATGCACCCAGAGCCACCTACCCCACCCCATAGGAAGCACTCAACCCCCCATAGCCCAATCAGAGCCCCCTATAGAACCCCCCTATGGGTTGTGGGTCGGGGTATGGGGTGTGTCAGGGTGCACCCAGCACAGGGCACCCCCATAGATCCCCCCACACAATGCACCCAGAGCCACCTACCCCACCCCATAGGAACCCCTCAACCCCCATAGCCCAATCAGAGCCCCCCTATGGGGTCAGTGTGCATCCAGCACAGGACACCCCCATGGATCACCCCACACAATGCACCCAGAGCCACCTACCCCACCCCATAGGAACCCCTCACCGCCCCCCATATCCCAACCGGAGCCCCCCTATGGGGCGTGGGGGGGGGGGTTACCTGCAGCGTGTGCTCGATGGCGTTGGGGAAGTTCTTGAGGGTGCAGATGGGGATGGCCTTCTCGGGGGGGTCCTGGCTCGAGCTGTACGACTCGCTCAGGAACGGGATCACCACCTGCACGTTCCCCTTCGTGCCCAACGTGCCCGACTCCAGCAGCGGCTTCCGGTAGTACACGCACCGCCGGTCCATGTAGAGCCCTACAAAGGGGCACCATGGGGCTGGAGTTGGGGGGGGGACACGCACACACACACTAGGGAAGCCTTGAGGGGGGTTAGAGCAGCCCGAGGGGGAACAGAGCATCCCTAAATGGCCCAGAGCATCCCTATAGGGCCTAGAGCATCCCTAAAGGACCTAGAGCATCCCTAGCGATCCTAGAGCATCCCTAAAGGGCTCAGAACATCCCGAGGGGGCCCAGAGCATCCCTAAAGGGCCCCGAGCATCCCTAAAGGACCCAGAGCATCCCTAAAGGGTCCAGAGCGTCCCTAAAGGGCCCAGAGCATCCCTAAGGATCCTAGAGCATCCCTAAAGGGCCCAGAGCATCCCGAGGGGGCCCAGGGCATCCCTATAGGGCCTAGAGCATCCCTAGGGGGACCAGAGCATCCCGAGGGGCCCTAGAGCATCCCTATAGGGCCTAGAGCATCCCTAGGGGGACCAGAGCATCCCTAAAGGGCCTAGAGCATCCCCAAAGGACCTAGAGCATCTCTAAAGGGCTCAGAGCATCCCTAAAGGACCTAGAGCATCCCTAAAGGACCTAGAGCATCCCTAAAGGGCTCAGAGCATCCCTAAAGGACCCAGAGCATCCCTAAAGGGCCTAGAGCATCCCTAAAAGGCCTAGAGCATCCCTAAAGGGCCTAGAGCATCCCTATAGCACTCCTTGGGGGCCCTAGAGCATCCCTGACAGGCCCTAGGGCACCCTTGGGGTACCCAGAGCTTCCCTAGAGCATCCCTGAAGGGCCCTAGAGCATCTCTGGGGTACCCACAGCTTCCCTATAGCACACCTGGGGGTACCCATCACCTGCCTGGGGTCCCTACAGCACTCCCAGGGGTCCCTCCAACATTCTTGGGGTGCCTAGAGCATCCCTAGGGTGCCTATAGCATCCCGGAGGAGCCCTATAGCATCACTCCTGCCCCCCCCCCAAGGTGGTCCCCACAGCTTCACTATAACACCCCTGCCATCACCTACAACCCAACCCCCCTGGAGAACCCAAATGATGCTCCCCAACACCCCAAAAAGCCCCCTAAGAACGCCCCACAGCACCCCAACGACCCCCAATAGCACCCTGAGGACACCCCCCCCGCCCCATAGCACCCCATAGCCCCCCCCCGGGGGGGGGTGCTCACGGGCATCAACGTTGTCGAGGGCGTTGGCGACGCCGTCGAGGGCCTCGAAGAAGTCGTCGTCGTAGACGCGCTCGGTCTCGGGGCCGACGCGCTCGGGGCGGCTCGTGATGCGCAGCGAAGGGTTCATGGCCCGCACGGCCGCCGCCGCCCGCTCCGACTTCAGCTTCTGCAGGGGGGAGATGGGGAAGGTCGGGCCATGGAGCCCTCTATGGGGCATTGTCGTGGGTCCCCACACACACTTTGAGCCCCATCCGATGGCCGGGGAACGTCAAGAGAGCGCAAACGTGGACGTTGTCAAACTTAAACCAAGTGAACGTTGATATCGGCCAACTCAAACCAACTGAACGTTGACATCGGCCAACTGAAACCAACTGAACATTGACAATGGCCAACTCAAACCAACTGAACGTTGACATTGGCCAACTGGAACCAACTCAACGTTGACAACGGCCAACTCAAACCAACTGAACGTTGACATTGGCCAACTGAAACCAAGTGAATGTTGACATCGGCCAACTGGAACCAACCCAAACGTTGACATCGGGCAACTGGAACCAACTCAACGTTGAGAATGGCCAACTGGAACCAACTGAAATGTTGACAATGGCCAACTAGAACCAACTCAACATTGACAATGGTCAACTGGAACCAACCGAAATGTTGACGATGACCAACATGAACCAACCCAAACGTTGACATCGGGCAACTGGAACCAACTCAGCGCTGAGAATGGCCAACTGGAACCAACTGAAATGTTGACGATGGCCAAGTGGAACCAACCCAAACGTTGACATCGGGCAACTGGAACCAACTCAACATTGAGAACGGCCAACTGGAACCAACTCAACGTTGAGAATGGCCAACTGGAACCAACTGAACGTTGACATCAGCCAACTGGAACCAACTGAATGTTGACATCGGCCAACTCAAACCAACTCAACGTTGACAACGGCCAACTGGAACCAACCCAAACGTTGACATTGGGCAACTGGAACCAACTCAATGTTGAGAATGGCCAACTGTAACCAACTGAAATGTTGACGATGGCCAACTGGAACCAACTCAACGTTGACAGTGGCAACCTTGAACCAACTCAACGCTGACAATGGCCAACTGGAACCAACTCAACATTGACAATGGTCAACCGGAACCAACTGAAATGTTGACGATGGCCAACTGGAACCAACCCAAACGTTGACATCGGGCAACTAGAACCAACTGAACGTTGACAATGGCCAACTGGAACCAACCTAAACGTTGACAATGGCCAACTGGAACCAACTCAAACGTTGACAATGGCCAACTAGAACCAACTAAACATTGACAACGGCCAACTGGAACCAACTCAAAACGTTGACAACGGCAAACCTGAACCAACCCAAACGCAGACAATGGCCAACTTGAACCAAATGGGACATTGACCAACTTGAACCAACTGAACATTGATATCGGCCAACTTGAACCAACCCAAACGTTGACAATGGTCAACCTGAACCAACCCAAACGTTGACATTGGCCAAAATGAACCAACTCAACATTGAGAATGGCCAACTTGAACCAACTCAAATGTTGACAATGGCCAACTTGAACCAATTTTAACATCGACAATGAATGGCCAACTGCAACCAACTCACGGTTGAAAATGGCCAACCTGAACCAACCTAAACATTGACAATGGCCAACAGGGACGTTGATGTTGGCCAACTTCAACCAACTGAACGCTGACATTGGCCAAGTGGGACCAACTGGGGCACTGACACTGACCAACTTGAACCAACCTGAAGGTTGCCATTGGCCAACACGAACCAACTCAAACATTGACATTGTCCAACCAGGGTGTTGATGTTGTCCAACTTGAACCAACCTGAACCTTGACGTTGACCAACTCAATGTTGAGCATCTCAAACGTTGATACCGGGCAACTCAAACCAACCTGAACGTTGACACTGGCCAACTCAGACCCAACAGGATATTGACACTGGCCAACTTGAAGCCACTGAACGTTGACATTGGCCAAGTGGGATCAATCGGGACATTGGCATTGGCCAACTCAATGTTGACCATCTTGGACACTGACCAACACAAACCAAACCAGATGCTGACCAACCTGAACCAACCCCAATGTTGCCATTGGCCAACTCGAACCAACCTGTACGTTGCCGTTGGCCAACTCCAACCACATGAACGTTGCCGTTGGCCAACTCCAACCACATGAACGTTGCCGTTGGCCAACTCCAACCACATGAACGTTGCCGTTGGCCAACTCCAACCACATGAACATTGCCGTTGGCCAACTCCAACCACATGAACGTTGCCGTTGGCCAACTCCAACCACATGAACGTTGCCGTTGGCCAACTCCAACCACATGAACGTTGCCGTTGGCCAACTCCAACCACATGAACATTTCCATTGGCCAACTCCAACCACATGAACATTGCCGTTGGCCAACTCCAACCACATGAACATTACCGTTGGCCAACTCCAACCACATGAACGTTGCTGTTGGCCAACTCAAACGTTGACAACACCCAACTCAAGCCAACCTGAATGTCGACGTTGGCCAACTCAAACCCAATGGGACACTGACATTGGCCAACTAGGACGTTGACAACGACCAACCTGACCATGGCCGTTGGCCAACTCCAACCTTGGCCAACTTGAATGCCGACAACGACCAACCGAATGCTGACATCTTAACGGCGGCCCCCCCCATAGACCCCGCCCCCTTCCTCTCTACCCCATAGGCTCCTCCCCCGTGCCCCTTACCGTGACATCCCAAGGCCGGAAGAGGAACTGGCGGTTGAGGTTGGACTTCTCGATGGTGTCCATGTCGGTGACGGTGATGGAGCCCTCGGGCCCGCAGCCCAGCCCCATCATGGCAAAGTTCTTCAGCAGCTCACAACCGATGGCGCCCGCACCCACCTGAGCACAGGTGATAAGTGGGGACATGTGGGGACACGTGGGGACATGTGGGGACACATGGGGACATAGGGGGACACAGCCCAAGGTGCCCCATGCACAGCTGGGGACACACGGATGGGGATGAGGGACGTTCATGGCCGAACAGGGACACTTGGGGACACTCTGAGGACCCATAGGGACATGTGGGGAGAGCCAGGAGGAGGCCTGGGGACACACAGGGACCCACGGGGACAGGGAGGGGACACTGACCACAAAGTACTTCTGGGCTCCCAGCTTGGCCTGCAGGTCGGCCCCGAAGACGGCGATCTGTCCGTCGTAGCGGCTGTTGCGCTGGGGACAACCCAAGGTGTCACCTGGATGGGTCACCCTGCCGTGGGGAGGCCACCCTATGGGGGGCCAGCCACCGAGCCATGGGTGCCCCCAGGGTGATGGCCAACCCATGGGTGCTCAAGGGATAACGTCAACCCGTTGAGGTACTCGCATCTGGGTGCCCCATAGCTAACGCCAACGCTACCGACACGCTCGTGTCAAGGAAGTGGCACCCATGGGTACCCCACGATGGGTGCTAACCATAAGATGACCCCCAGCGATGGGTGTCCCCATAAAGCTGCTGAACCCATTGGTTTCCTCACCTCATGGTCAATCCCCATCCCAACCCAAGGAGATGCCCACCCATGGGTGCCCCTAAGGGGGTCAAGCCATGGGTGTCTTATGACCAATGCCCATTCCAAGGAGAGGCCCATCTAAAAGGGGGTGCCCACAAGGAGGGTGCCCACCCATGGGTGTCCCCAGTGAGACAACCAGCCCCATGGGTGCCTCCAACACATGGGCGCCCTATGAACAACACCCACCCCAAAGAGATGCCCATAAGGAGGGTGCCCACCCATGGGTGTCCCCAATAAAACAACCAAACCCATGGGTGCCCTATGAACAACACCCACCCCAAAGAGCTGCCCATAAGGAGGGTGCCCACCCACGGGTGTCCCCAGTGAGGCAACCAACCCCATGGGTGCCCTATGAACAACACCCACCCCGAAGAGATGCCCATAAGGAGGGTGCCCACCCATGGATGTCCCCACTAAAACAACCGACCCCATGGGTGCCTCCAACCCATGGGTGCCCTATGAACAACACCCACCCCAAAGAGATGCCCATAAGGAGGGTGCCCACCCATGGGTGTCCCCAGTAAAACAACCAACCCCATGGGTGCCCTATGAACAACACCCGCCCCAAAGAGATGCCCATAAGGACGGTGCCCACCCATGGATGTCCCCAATAAGACAACCGACCCCATGGGTGCCTCCAACCCATGGGCGCCCTATGACCAATCCCTACCCCATAAGGAATCTAATGACCCAATGAACCACCCAACCCTTTGGGCACCCTCAAGAGGGTGCCCCCCCCACCCATGGGTGCTCACCGGGCGACACTGCTCCTCGGTCAGAATCGTCTCTTTGTTCTCCTCAGGAAGACATTCCAAGGCGTCAAAGTAGAGCCATTGGGTGATGGGGGTGAACTTCCCGGACACGGCCTGCACCCAAGAGCCCATCAGGAGACCCCCATTGACCAAGGAGGGCACCCCACACATGTGTGATGGGGAAAACACCCCCCCCACAACCATGGATGCTCAAGGAAGGGGTCGTGGCTGTCCCGGTACCTTCATGACCTCCTGGGCTGCCAAGCCCCCGATGAAGGCGTTGACGGGGGCCAGGTCTCCGGTGGCTTGGAAAGCCAATTCCTGCAGGAGCTTCTCATCCAGGTCCACCCCCGGGGCCAGGGCCCGGGTCAAGGCCACCATCTCGGCCGCGTCGCCCTAAGGTGGGGGGTAGGATACAGTTAGGGTGGGGGACAAGCAAGGGGGGGACCCCCCCCCCAATGGGGACAGCACAAGATGGGTGTTGGGGGAGGAGATGGTGTGGGGTCGGTGGCGGTGTTTCAGTGGCTCCAGTGTCCCACCATGGCCAAGTGACTCCCCGTACCCCACCACAGCCCCACTCCATCCATAGCCCCCCATCCCCACACCCCATACCCCCCCCATCCCTATTCCATCCATACCCCCCATCCCCACTCCATCCATACCCCCCATATCCCCACTCCATCCATACCCCCCCCAAATCCCCACTCCCCCCATACCCCCCCCAAATCCCCACTCCCCCCATACCCCCCCCACATCCCCACTCCAACCATACCCCCCCATCCCCACTCCCCCCATGTCCCCCCCACATCCCCACTCCAACCATACCCCCCCCACATCCCCACTCCATCCATACCCCCCCACACCCCCACCCCACCCATATCCCCCCATCCCCACCCCATCCATACCCCCCCATCCCCACTCCCCCCATACCCCCCATATCCCCACCCCATCCATACCCCCCATATCCCCCCCATATCCCCACTCCATCCATACCCCCCCTTACCCCCCACATCCCCACCCCACCCATACCCCCCCACATTCCCACTCCCCCCATACCCCCCCCCCATCCCCACTCCATCCATACCCCCCCACATCCCCACTCCCCCCATACCCCCCCACATCCCCACCCCATCCATACCCCCCACATCCCCACCCCATCCATACCCCCCATATCCCCACTCCCCCCATGTCCCCCCCATGCCCACCTGGTGCCGTGCCCTCGGCGCGTGCCCGTGCTGGGCCATGAACCGGTGCAGGCCCTGCCAGCCCCAGTGCAGCATCGGGGGCCGCTCGGCCTTCCCGAAGTCGGTGACCATCAGCTCCGGGGCCGCCAGCGACTCCCGCAGCCGCTTCTGCCATGGGGTGGGGGTCACTGGTGAGCACCCATTGGCCCCCCACACCCCATTGGGTGCCCCCCCCAACCCTATTGAGTGTCCCCCACACACACCCCATTGGGTGTCCCACCCCAAACCTATTGGGTGCCCCCCCCAACCCCATTGGGTGCCCCCCCCAACCCTATTGGGTGCCCCCCCCATTGGGTGCCCCTGCCCCAACCCCACTGGGTGTCCCCCCCCAACCCCATTGGGTGCCCCCTCCCCCAACCCCATTGGATGCCCCCAACCCCATTGGGTGCCCCCCCAACCCCATTGGGTGTCCCCCCCCACCCCATTGGGTGTCGTCCGTCCCCCCCCATTGGGTGCCCCCCCACCCCATTGACCCTCCCCACCCCATTGACCCCCCCCACCCCATTGGGTGCCCCCCCCAACCCCATTGGGTGCTCCCCCCCACCCCATTGACCCCCCCACCCCATTGGGTGTCCCCCCCCACCCCATTGGGTGCCCCCCCAACCCCATTGGGTGACTCCCCCCCCACCTCATTGACCCCCCCCAACCCCATTGGGTGCCCCCCCCACCCCATTGACCCTCCCCACCCCATTGACCCCCCCCACCCCATTGGGTGTGCTCCCCCCAACCCCATTGGGTGCCCCCCCTCCATCCCATTGGGTGCCCCCCCATCCCATTGGGTGCCCCCCCCACCCCATTGGGTGCCCCCCCCAACCCCATTGGGTGCCCCCCCCATCTCATTGGGTGCCCCCCCCCCCCAGTTCACCCCATTGGGTGCCCCCCCTCCACCCCATTGGGTGTCCCCCCCCCAACCCCATTGGATGCCCCCCACCCCAAAGGGTGCCCCCCCACACCCCATTGGGTGCCCCCCCCCAACCCCATTGGGTGCCCCCCCCCCACCCCCATTGGGTGTCGTCCGTCCACCCCCATTGGGTGCCCCTCCCCCACCCCATTGGGTGCCCCCCCCCACCCCATTGACCATCCCCACCCCATTGGGTGTCCCCCCCACCCCATTGGGTGTCCCCCCCAACCCCATAGGGTGCCCCCCCCAACCCCATTGGGTGACTCCCCCCCCACCCCATAGGGTGCCCCCCCAACTCACGAAGCGGATGTGCTTGGGCATCTTGACCTGGGTGACGATGCCCCCCCGCACGTAGTCCCCAAAGTCGCTCGTGTCCCCGATGCTGAAGGTGTAGGGCCCTGTGGGGAGGGGCTGTCACCAGGGAGGCTCGAGGAGGGCCCCAGGCCCCCACAGACCCCTAGAGAAGGGCTCCGGGTACCCAGGGGCCCTATAGAGAGGCTCCAGGTAACTAAGACCCTATAGAGAGGCTTCAGGGCTCGACAGCCCCCTATAGAGAGGCTCCAGGGCTCGACAGCCCCCTATAGAGAGGCTTCAGGGCTCGACAGCCCCCTATAGAGAGGCTCCAGGGCTCCATAGCCCCCTATAGAAGGGCTCCAGAGCTCCATAACCCCCTATAGAAGGGCTCCAGGGCTCCATAGCCCCTTATAGAAGGGCTCCAGGGCTCCATAGCCCCCTATAGAGAGGCTCCAGGGCTCCATAGCCCCCTATAGAGAGGCTCCAGGGCTCCATAGACCCCTATAGAAGGGCTCCAGGGCTCCATAGCCCCCTATAGAAGGGCTCCAGGGCTCCATAGCCCCCTATAGAAGGACTCCAGGTACCTAGGGGCCCTATAGAGAGGCTCCAGGGCTCCATAGCCCCCTATAGAAGGGCTCCAAGTAACTAAAGTCCCTATAGAGAGGCTTCAGGGATCCATAGCCCCCTATAGAAGGGCTCCAGGTAACTAAAGTCCCTATAGAGAGGCTTCAGGGCTCGACAGCCCCCTATAGAAGGGCTCCAGGGCTCCATAGCCCCCTATAGAAGGGCTCCATAGCCCCCTATAGAAGGGCTCCAGGTACCTACAGCCCCCTATAGAGAGGCTCCAGGGCTCCATAGCCCCCTATAGAGAGGCTCCAGGGCTCCATAGCCCCCTATAGAAGGGCTCCAGGTACCTACAGCCCCCTATAGAGAGGCTCCAGGGCTCCACAGCCCCCTATAGAAGGGCTCCAGGTACCTACAGCCCCCTATAGAAAGGCTCCAGAGCTCCATAACCCCCTATAGAAAAGCTCCAGATACGTATAGCCCCCTATAGAATGACTGCAGGGCTCCATAGGCCCTACAGAACTGCTCCAGGTGCCCATAACCCCCTATAGCAAGCCCCCAGGTGCCCATAGCCCCCTATAGAAGCCCCCAGTCGCCCCCAGCCCCCTATAGAAGCCCTAGGGGCTCACCGAGGACGCGGATCTCCATGGGGCCGCAGGAGTTGAGCTGCTCCATCCCTTCCACCTCGGTGAAGGTGACGAAGTCGCCGGTCTCGAAGCCGTGCCGGGCCTCATCCAGACACGTCACCTCCCCTGGGCAGCCCTTAATGTGTGTGTGTGTGGGGGGGGGATCAATGGGTGTTGAGCATCACACCCCCCCCCCCCCCATCCCAGCATCCTTTATAGGGTATTGGTACCTTGGTTACCATGGAAACCATGGCGCTGAGGGGCTGCTCGCCGTTGGTGTCGGTCACCACCATGTCGTCCCCAAAGTCACAGAAGAGCTGGCTGGGGGGGGGGGGGGGAAGGGGGGGTCAGGGAGAGAGGATGGGGGGGGGACCCCCAAAGGGATCCAAGGGGAAAGGGGGACCCTGAAAGGGACCCAAGGGGACCCCAAAAGGGAGCCAAGGGGATGGGGGGACCCCAGAAGGGACCCAAGGGGACCCCAAAAGGGAGCCAAGGGGATGGGGGACCCCGAAAGGGACCCAAGGGGACCCCAAAAGGGAGCCAAGGGGATGGGGGACCCCAAAAGGGACCCAAGAGAAGCCCAGAAGGGAGCCAAGGGGATGGGGGACCCCAAAAGGGACCCAAGGGGACCCCAAAAGGGAGCCAAGGGGATGGGGGACCCCGAAAGGGACCCAAGGGGACCCCAAAAGGGAGCCAAGGGGATGGGGGACCCCAAAAGGGACCCAAGAGAAGCCCAACAGGGAGCCAAGGGGATGGGGGACCCCGAAAGGGACCCAAGGGAACCCCAAAAGGGACCCAAGGGAACAGAGGGAACCCCAAAAGGGACCCAAGAGAAGCCCAAAAGGGAGCCAAGGGGATGGGGGACCCCAAAAGGGAGCCAAGGGAACAGGGGGGACCCCAAAAGGGACCCAAGAGAACCCCAAAAGGGACCCAAGAGAAGCCCTAAAGGGACCCAAGGGAACAGGAGAGCCCCAAAACGGTCCCAAGGGAACCCCAAAAGGGACCCAAGTGACCCCCAAAGGGACCCAAGGGGAGACGGGAGCCCCAAAAGGGACCCAGGGGGTCAACAGAACCCTGAAAGGGACCCAAGAGACCCCTAAAAAGGGACATGGGGGGAGCCCAAAAAGGACCCAAAGGGACCCAGGAGAACCCCAAAAAGCCCCTAGGGGGGCAGGGGGACCCCAAAAGGGCTCCCTGGGGACCCCAAAGGGGATGAGGAACCCCCCAGGAGGGCCCTAGGGGGACCCCAAGGAGGGGGGAGGAGCCCCCATGTGGGGCTCACCCGAAGAGCCCGCGGGTATCGGCCACCACCAGTTTGATGCCGTGGCTGTGGCAGAAGTCCCCGACCCACAGCTGCTCCTCCAGGGATGAGTTGGTCAAAACCACGACCTAGGGAGAGCCCCATGGCTGTGGGTCCAGCTCCATGGCCCCCAATCCGGCTCCATGGCTGTGGGTCCAGCCCCATGGCTGTGGGTCCGGCCCCGTGGCTGTGGGTCCAGCCCCATAGCTGTGGGTCTGGCTCCATGGCCCCCAATCCGGCTCCATGGCTGTGGGTCCAGCCCCATGGCCCCGATCTGGCCCCATGGCCCCCAGGGCAGGAACACACAAATAGGAAGCCATTGGGGGTGAACGAGGGGTTGTGGGGTACAGGCGGCCACAGAGATACAGGCGGACGCACAACCGCGGTGATGGACAGCAAATGGGATGGGGTACGGTCAGACACACAGTGTATGGGTACAGTCAGACACACACACACCAGTGTAAGGGTACCGTCAGACACACAGTGTATGGCTACAGTCAGACACACACACAACAGTGTAAGGGTACCGTCAGACACACAGTGTATGGCTACAGTCAGACACACACACGACAGTGTAAGAGTACAGTCAGACACACACACACCAGTGTAAGGGTACCGTCAGACACACAGCGTATGGCTACAGTCAGACACACACACAACAGTATAAGGGTACCGTCAGACACACACACACCAGTGTATGGCTACAGTCACACACACACACCAGTGTATGGGTACAGTCAGACACACACCAGTGTATGGGTACAGTCCGACACACACACACAGATACAGTCAGACATAGACACGCAACAGTAGATGGGTACAGTCAGACATGCAATAGTGTACAGGTACAATCAGACACAGGCACGCAACAGCGCATGAGTACAGTTGGACACACACAAACCAGTGTATGGCTACAGTTGGATACACACACGCATCAGTGTATAGGTACAGTCAGACGCACACACACAACAGTGTATGGGTACAGTCAGACAGACACCCGAGTGTATGGGTACAGTCAGACGTGCACAACAGACGGCCATTGAAGGAGAAGGAGATGTAGGGAGTACTGGCAGCCAAAGGTGGGCAGAAGAAGGTGTAGGGGATACAGGCAGCCAAAGGGGGGGCACAAGCAGCTGTAGGCAACAGCAAAAGGGGGGTACACGGAGGTGTAGGGGGTACAGGCGCTCAAGGGGGGGTACAGGCGCTCAAGGGGGGGGTACGGGCGCTCAAGGGGGGGTACAGGCGCTCAAGGGGGGGTACAGGCGCTCAAGGGGGGGGTACAGGCGCTCAAGGGGAGGGTACAGGCGCTCAAGGGGGGGTACAGGCACTCAAGGGAGGGGTACAGGCACTCAAGGGGGGGTACAGGCACTCAAGGGGGGGTACAGGCACTCAAGGGGGGGTACAGGCGCTCAAGGGGAGGGTACAGGCGCTCAAGGGGGGGTACAGGCACTCAAGGGGGGGGTACAGGCACTCAAGGGGGGGTACAGGCGCTCAAGGGGGGGGTACAGGTGCTCAAGGGGGGGATACAAGCACTCAATTGGGGCTGAGGGCGGCCATGGGGGTACCTGGAAGGGCGCGAGCAGCTCCTGGCTCAGCGGCTCCTGGCTGCTGCTCACGGCCACGTAGGAGTTGAGCTCGGCCAAGCGCGGCAGCGTCGCCTCCGCCCGGTTCTGCCCCACGTCCTCCTCCCGCAGGTAGAACTGGGGGGGGGGGCACACACAAAGGGGGGGTCAGAACCTGACAACGGCCCCACAACACCCCAAACCCAGAGAAAACACCCCAAAATACAGAGAAAACACCCCAAAATCCAGAGAAAATACCCCAAAATCCAGAGAAAATACCCAAAAATACAGAGAAAATACCCCAAATCCAGAGAAACACTCCAAAATACAGAGAAAACAGCCCAAAATCCAGAGAAAATACCCAAAAATACAGAGAAAATACCCCAAAATACAGAGAAAACACCCCAAAATCCAGAGAAAACACCCCAAATCCAGAGAAAACACCCCAAAATCCAGAGAAAACACCCCAAAATCCAGAGAAAATACCCCAAATCCAGAGAAAATACCCCAAAATACAGAGAAAACACCCCAAATCCAGAGAAAACACCCCAAAATCCAGAGAAAACACCCCAAAATACAGAGGAAATACCCCAAAATCCAGAGAAAATACCCCAAAATCCAGAGAAAACACCCCAAATCCAGAGAAAACACCCCAAAAAACAGAGAAAACACCCCAAATCCAGAGAAAACACCCCAAAACCCAGAGAAAACACCCCAAAATACAGAGAAAACAGCCCAAAATAGAGAAAACACCCCCAAAATACAGAGAAAACACCCCAAAATACAGAGAAAATACCCCAAAATCCAGAGAAAATACCCCCAAATCCAGAGAAAATACCCCAAATCCAGAGAAAATACCCCAAAATACAGAGAAAACACCCCAAAATACAGAGAAAACACCCCAAATCCAGAGAAAATACCCCAAAATACAGAGAAAACACCCCAAAATACAGAGAAAACACCCCAAATCCAGACAAAATACCCCAAAATACAGAGAAAACACCCCAAATCCAGAGAAAACACCCCAAAATCCAGAGAAACACCCCAAAATCCAGAGAAAACACCCCAAATCCAGAGAAAATACCCCAAATCCAGAGAAACACCCCAAAATCCAGAGAAAACACCCCAAATCCAGAGAAAATACCCCAAAATCCAGAGAAAACACCTCACAGTCCAAAGAAAATACCCCAAAATACAGAGAAAATACCCACAAATACAAAAAAATTCCTCAAAATAGAAAGAAAATACCCCAAAACACCCCCAAATAGAGAAAACACCCCAAAACACCCCCAAATACAGAGAAAATACACTAAATTACAAAATACCCCCAAACACCCCCAAATAGAGAAAATACCCCAAAACACCCCCAAATCCAGAGAAAATACCCCAAAATACAGAGAAAATACCCCAAAACACCCCTAAATCCAGAGAAAATACCCCCAAACACAGACAAAATACCCCAAAACACAGACAAAATACCCCAAACCACCCCCAAATCCAGAGAAAATACCCCAAAATACAAAATATCCCAAAACACAGAGAAAATACCCCAAAATACCCCCCATTTATTAATATAATTAATTATTAATGTAATTAATTACATTAATCCCCCCAAATTAATTAATTACACTTGGGGGGGCACTTAAACACCCCAACATCCTTACCAAGGATCGATCCATTCCATTGGTGGGGGGGGTGCCAACAACATTTAACCCCCCCATCCACCCCCCCCCCCCCAATTATCGGGGTCCAACGGCCCCATAGAGGCTGTGGGGAGGGGGGGGCTCACCTGGGAGGCCAGGTCAGGCCATGCAGCAGGGTGGGGGTCGTGGAGGGTGACGGATTTGACCCCCCCCAGCACCAGGTTTTTGGCCACTTCCACCCCCAGCCCCCGGAGCCCCGACACCAGGACGTTGGACGTCTGCATCCGCTTCATGGCCTCGTGGCCCAGCACGTACCTGGGGGGGGGCACAAAAAGGGGGGGGTCAGGGCACCCCCAAACCCATAGCGGGGTCCCCAAGCCCTTAAAGGGACCCCCCCTAAAGGTGCCCCCCCCCCCGGATGTTGTAATGGGAAGGACCTGGGAGATGCTGTGTCCATAGGGATGGCTCTAATGTGTCCCCCCCCCACCCCCCAACCGGGCTATAAAGGGTCCCAAACTTATAGGGCTCACCCCATAGGGAAGCCCCAAAGCAGCCTGAATCCATAGGGATACCCCCAAGTACCTATGGAAACACCCCCAAATCCATAGGGATACCCCTAAGCCCCTATGGACCCCCCCAAATCCACAGCAACAACCCCCCCCAAATCCATAGGGATACCCCCAAGCACCTATGGACCCCCCCCAAATCCATAGGAACAACCCCCCCAAATCCATAGGGATAACCCCAAGCCCCTATGGACCCCCCCAAATCCATAGCAACAACCCCCCCAAATCCATAGGGATACCCCCAAGCCCCTATGGAGCCCCCCAAATCCATAGGAACAACCCCCCCAAATCCATAGGGATACCCCCAAGCCCCTATGGACCCCCCCCCCCCAAATCCATAGGAACAACCCCCCAAATCCATAGGGATACCCCCAGGCACCCATAAACCACTCTCCAAATCCATAGGGATACCCCCAAGCACCTATGGACCCCCCCAAATCCACAGCAATAACCCCCCCCAAATCCATAGGGATACCCCCAAGCCCCTATGGACCCCCCCCCCAAATCCATAGCAACAACCCCCCCCAAATCCATAGCAACAACCCCTTCCCAAATCCATAGGGATACCCCCAGGCACCTATGGAGCTGCCCCCAAATCCATAGGACCCCCTCCCCCCAAATCCATAGGGATACCCCCAAGCCCCTATGGACCCCCCCCAAATCCATAGGGACACCCCCAAGCCCATATGGAGCCCCCCCAAATCCATAGGACCCCACCCCCCCATATCCATAGGGATACCCCTAAGCCCCTATGGACCCCCCCAAATCCATAGGAATACCCCTAAGCCCCTATGGACCCCCCCAAATCCATAGGAATACCCCTAAGCCCCTATGGACCCCCCCAAATTCATAGGGCCCCCCCATACTCACAGCTGGCGGGAGTAGAGCCCCTCATCGATCTCGGCTTCGCCCCCGTTCTTCGCCATGCCCTGGGGGGGGACAAGGGGACAATGGCATCAGATGGGGGGGACAATGGCATCAGAAGGGGGGGGACAATGGCATCAGATGGGGGGGACAATGGCATCAGATGGGGGGGACAACGGCATCAAATGGGGGGGGACAATGGCATCAGATGGGGGGAACAATGGCATCACATGGGGGGGACAATGGCATCAGATGGGGGGGACAATGGCATCAGATGGGGACAATGGCATCAGATGGGGGGGGACAATGGCATCAGATGGGGGGGGACAATGGCATCAGGGGGGACAATGGCATCAGGGGGGGGACAATGGCATCAGATGGGGGGGACAATGGCATCAGATGGGGGGGGACAATGGCATCAGATGGGGGGGACAATGGCATCAGATGGGGGGGGACAATGGCATCAGATGGGGGGACAATGGCATCAGATGGGGGGGACAATGGCATCAGATGGGGGGGACAATGGCATCAGATGGGGGGGACAATGGCATCAGATGGGGGGACAATGGCATCAGATGGGGGGGACAATGGCATCAGATGGGGGGGACAATGGCATCAGATGGGAGGCGACAATGGCATCAGATGGGGGGGGACAATGGCATCAGGTGGGGGGACAATGGCATCAGATGGGGGGACAATGGCATCAAATGGGGGGGACAAGGGCATCAGATGGGGGGACAATGGCATCAGATGGGGGGGACAATGGCATCAAATGGGGGGACAATGGCATCAGATGGGGGGGGGACAATGGCATCTGATGGGGGGACAATGGCATCAGATGGGGGGACACAATGGCATCAGGTGGGGGGACAATGGCATCAGATGGGGGGACAATGGCATCAAATGGGGGGGACAATGGCATCAGACGGGGGGACAATGGCATCAGATGGGGGGGACAATGGCATCAGAAGGGGGGGGACAATGGCATCAGATGGGGGGGGACAATGGCATCAGATGGGGGGGACAATGGCATCAGATGGGGGGGACAATGGCATCAGATGGGGGGGGACAATGGCATCAGATGGGGGGGACAATGGCATCAGATGGGGGGGACAATGGCATCAAATGGGGGGACAATGGCATCAGATGGGGGGGACAATGGCATCAAATGGGGGGGACAATGGCATCAAATGGGGGGACAATGGCATCAGATGGGGGGACAATGGCATCAGATGGGGGGGACAATGGCATCAGATGGGGGGGACAATGGCATCAGATGGGGGGACAATGGCATCAGATGGGGGGACAATGGCATCAGATGGGGGGGGACACCCATTGGAGGACATGGTGGGGGGGGCTGGGAGGGGACACATGGGTGCCACTGGGTGCAGTGGGCTGTGGGTCACCCAATGATTGTGGGGGTGCTGTGACCCCATGGGAAGCTGTGGGAGGTGACAACGGGTGACAACGGGTGACAATGGGTGACAACGAATGAGAATGGGTGACAATGGGCGACAATGGGCGACAACGGGTGACAATGGGTGACAATGGACAACAATGGATGACAATGGGTGACAACCGGTGACAATGGGTGGCAACGGGTGACAATGCATGACAACAGGCAACAACGCGCGACAATGGGTGACAACCGGTGACAATGGGTGGCAACGGGTGACAACCGGTGACAATGGGTGGCAACGCGCGACAATGGGTGACAACGCGCGACAATGGATGACAATGGGTGACAACCGGTGACAATGGGTGGCAACGGGTGACAATGGATGACAACAGGCAACAACGGGCGACAATGGGTGACAACAAGTGAGAATGGTGACAATGGGCAACAATGGATGACAATGGGTGACAACGGGTGACAATGGGAAGCTGTGGGAGGTGACAGTGGGTGACAACGGGTGACAATGGATGACCATGGGTGACCATGGGTGACAATGGAGGACAACTGGCGACAACAGATGACAATGGGTGACAACGGGTGACAACGGGTGACAACGGGTGACAATGGATGACAACAGGTGACAGTGGGTGACAACGGGTGACCATGGGTGACAACGGGTGACCATGGGTGACAACAGGCGACACCAGATGACAATGGGTGACCATGGGTGACAACAGGCAACAACAGATGACAATGGGTGACAATGGGTGACAACGGGCAACAACAGATGACAATGGGTGACACCAGATGACAATGGGTAACAACGGGTGACCATGGGTGACAACGGGCAACAACAGATGACAACGGGCAACAACAGATGACAATGGGTGACAATGGATGACAACGGGTGACACCAGATGACAATGGGTGACCATGGGTGACAACAGGCAACAACAGATGACAATGGGTGACCATGGGTGACAACGGGCAACAACATGACAACGGGCAACAACAGATGACAACGGGTGACAATGGATGACAACGGGTGACACCAGATGACAATGGGTGACAACGGGTGACAATGGGTGACAACAGGTGACTATGGGTGACAACGGGAAGCTGTGGGAGGTGACAGTGGGTGACAACGGGCGACAATGGGGGACAACGGGTGACAACAGGTGACAACGGGCGACAACAGGTGACAACGGGCAACAGTGGGTGACAACGGGCGACAATGGATGACAATGGATGACAACAGATGACAATGGATGACAATGGGTGACAATGGGGGGGGCACATCCATCGAGAGGGGGGAGGACACACACTGGGGACCCCTTGGTGACACCTCCACCAACGGGGCTCTGAGCACTGCAGTGGCGAAACAACACGGGACACCCCCGCGGGCGCGCGGCGCTGAGCCCCATAGCGACCATGGGGCCAGCCCTATATGGGGCTGGGGGGGGGGTTGACACTCACGTTGGTGGGGGTGGCGCTGGGGGACACGCTGGGGACAGGGGCACGGCTGGAGCCCGTCGGTGCCTCAGACCCAGAGATGCGGCGCTTCTTGGACAGCGGGGAGCTGGACATCTATGGGAGAGGGAACAGGAGAGCCTATGGAGCCCCTATGGCATAGGGCGCCCCCCAAGTGCCTATGGAGCCCCTATGGCATAGGGCGCCCCCCAAGTGCCTATGGAGCCCCTATGGCACAGGGGCGCCCCCCAAGTGCCTATGGAGCCCCTATGGCATAGGGCACCCCCCAAGTGCCTATGGAGCCCCTATGGCCATAGGGACACCGCCAAGTGCCTATGGAGCCCCTATGGCATAGGGACGCCCCCCAAGTGCCTATGGAGCCCCTATGGCATAGGGGCGCCCCCCAAGTACCTAAGGAGCCCCTATGGCATAGGGACACCCCCCCATGGAGACCCTATGGCATAGGGACACCCCCCAATTGCCTATGGAGCACATATGGCATAGGGGCGCCCCCCAAGTACCTATGGAGCACATATGGCATAGGGTGCCCCCCAAGTGCCTATGGAGCCCCTATGGCACAGGGGCGCCCCCCAAGTACCTATGGAGCCCCTATGGCCAGAGGGGCACCCCCCAAGTACCTGTGGAGCCTCTATGGAATAGGAACACCCCCCAAGTGCCTATGGAGCCCCTATGGCATAGGGACACCCCCCAAGTACCTATGGAGCCCCTATGGCATAGGGACACCCCCCAAGTGCCTATGGAGCCCCTATGGCATAGGGACACCCCCCAAGTGCCTATGGAGCCCCTATGGCATAGGGGCGCCCCCCAAGTACCTATGGAGCCCCTATGGCATAGGGACACCCCCAAGTACCTATGGAGCCCCTATGGCACAGGGGCGCCCCCCAAGTGCCTATGGAGCCCCTATGGCCAGAGGGGCGCCCCCCAAGTGCCTATGGAGCCCCTATGGCATAGGGACACCCCCCATGGAGCCGCTATGGCCATAGGGACACCCGCAAGTACCTGTGGAGCCCCTATGGCATAGGGACACCCCCCAAGTACCTATGGAGCCCCTATGGCCAGAGGGGCACCCCCCAAGTACCTGTGGAGCCTCTAGGAACACCCCCCAAGTGCCTACGGAGCCCCTATGGCATAGGGACACCCCCCAAGTACCTATGAAGCCCCTAGAGCCATAGGGACCCCCACAAGCACCTATGGATCCCCTATAACCATAGAGACACCCAAAATCACCTATAGATTCGTTATATCCATAGGGATTTCCCCAAGCCCCTATGGAAGCATCCCAAACCCATACAGGCACCCATAAGCACCTATGGAGCCCCCCCAAATCCATAGGGACACCCATAAGCACCTATAGAATCATCCCCAAATCCATAGGAACACCCATAAGCACCTATGGACCCCCCCAACAAATCCATAGGGACCCCCATAAGCCCCTATGGACCCGCCCATATCCGTAGGGACCCCCATAAGCACCTATGGACCCCCCCAACAAATCCATAGGGACCCCCATAAGCCCCTATGGACCCCCCCCATATCCATAGGGACACCCATAAGCACCTATGGACCCCCCCAACAAATCCATAGGGACCCCCATAAGGCCCTATGGACCCCCCCATATCCATAGGGACACCCATAAGCCTCTATGGACCCCCCCATATCCATAGGGACACCCATAAGCCTCTATGGACCCCCCCATATCCATAGGGACACCCATAAGCCTCTATGGACCCTCTCATATCCACAGGGACACCCATAGGCACCTATGGAGCCTCCCCAATGGTTGATCCCATTGACCCTATTGATCCCATTGACCCAATTGATCCTATTGATCCCATTGCTCCCATTGACCCTACTGATCCCACTGACCCTATTTATTGATTCCATTGCTCCTATTGATCCCATTGCTCCCATTGACCCTATTAATCCCACTGACCCTATTTATTGATCCCATTGCTCCCATTGACCCCACTGCTCCTATTGAATCCACTGATCCCATTGACCCTATTGATCCCATTGCTCCCATTGACCCTATTGATCCCACTGACCCTAGTTATTGATCCCACTGATCCCATTGACCCCACTGCTCCTATTGACCCCACTGCTCCTATTGATACCATTGCTCCCATTGACCCTATTTATTGATCCCACTGATCCCATTGCTCCCGTTGAACCTATTGATCCCATTGACCCCATTTATTGCTCCTATTGATCCCATTGCTCCCACTGACCCCACTAATTCTACTGATGCCATTGAGATCCCATTGATCCTATTTATTGATCCCACTGACCCTATTTACTGCTCCTACTTATCCCATGGATCCTATTGCTCCCATTGACCCAATTTATTGATCCCATTGCTCCCACTGACCCCATTGATCCTACTGATCCCATTGCTCCCCCTGACCCCATTGATCCCATTGACCCTATTTACTGCTATTGATCCCACTGATCCTATTGCTCTCATTGACCCTATTTATTGATCTCATTGCTCCCATTGACCCCATTGATCCTACTGATCCCATTGCTCCCCCTGACCCCATTGATCCCATTGACCCTATTTACTGCTCCTATTGATCCCATTAATCCCATTGATCCCATTGCTCTCATTGACCCTATTTACTGCTCCTACTGACCCCACTGATCCTATTGACCCTATTTATTGCTCCTATTGATCCCATTGATCTCACTGATGCCACTGAGACCCCATTGATCCCCCTTACCCCACTGCTCCCCCTGACCCCATTGATCCCATTAACCCTATTTATTGCTCCTGTTGATCCCATTGATCCCATTGCTCCCATTGACCCCATTGATCCAACTGATCCCATTGAGACCCCATTGATCCCCCTGACCCCACTGACCCTATTTATTGCTCCTATTGATCCCATTGCTCCCATTGACCCTACTGATCCCATTGACCCCATTGCTCCTCCTGACCCCATTGCTCCCATTAACCCCATTGTGACCCCACTGAGCCCATTGACCCTATTTATTGCTCCCATTCCTCTCATTGATCCTATTGATCCCATTGCTCCCATTAACCCCATTGCTCCCTGTGACCCCATTGCTCCCATTGACCCTATTGCTCCCATTAACCCCATGGCTCCCATTAACCCCATTGCTCCCATCGACCCCATTTATTGCTCCCATTGCTCCCATTAACCCCACCGCTCCCATTGATCCTACTGATCCCATTGACCCCATTTATTGCTCCCATTAACCCCACTGCTCCCATTAACCCCATTGCTCCCATTAACCCCATTGCTCCCATTGATCCTATTGATCCCATTGATCCCATTGCTCCCATTGATCCTACTGATCCCATTGCTCCCATTGATCCTACTGATCCCATTGCTCAACCCCATTACTCCCCTTAACCCCATTGATCCCATTAACCCCACTGCTCCCATTGATCCCATTGACCCCATTTATTGCTCCTATTGATCCCATTGATCCTACTGATCCCATTGCTCAACCCCATTGCTCCCATTAACTCCATTGCTCCCCCTGACCCCATTGCTCCCATTGATCCTACTGATCCCATTAACCCCATTACTCCCATTGCTCAACCCCATTGCTCCCATCAACCCCATTGCTCCCATTAACTCCATTGCTCCCATTAACCCCATTGCTCCCCCTGACCCCATTGCTCCCATTGATCCTATTGATCCCATTGACCCCACTGCTCCCTTGATCCTACTGATCCCATTGCTCAACCACATTGCTCCCATTGATCCCACTGACCCTATATATTGCTCCCATTAACCCCATTGCTCCCCCTGACCCCATTGCTCCCATTGATCCTACTGATCCCATTGATACTACTGATCCCATTGCTCCCATTAACCCCACTGCTCCCATTAACCCCATTGCTCCCCCTGACCCCATTGCTCCCATTGATCCCATTGCACCCAGTGATCCTATTGATCCCATTAACCCCATTTCTCCCATTAACCGCATTGCTCCCATTGACCCTATTTATTGATCCCATTGATCCCACTGCTCCCATTAATCCCATTGCTCCCCGACCCCATTGCTCCCATTGATCCTATTGATCCCATTAACCCCATTGCTCCCATTAACCCCACTGCTCCCATTAACCCCATTGCTCCCATTAACCCCATTGCTCCCCCTGACCCCATTGCTCCCACTGACCCTATTTATTGACCCCATTGCTCCCATTAATCCTACTGATCCCATTGATCCCATTAACCCCATTGCTCCCCCTGACCCCATTGCTCCCATTGATCCTATTGATCCCATTGATCCCATTGCTCCCATTGATCCTACTGATCCCATTGCTCCCATTGATCCTACTGATCCCATTGCTCAACCCCATTACTCCCCTTAACCCCATTGATCCCATTAACCCCACTGCTCCCATTGATCCCATTGACCCCATTTATTGCTCCTATTGATCCCATTGATCCTACTGATCCCATTGCTCAACCCCATTGCTCCCATTAACCCCATTGCTCACCCTGACCCCATTGCTCCCATTGATCCTACTGATCCCATTAACCCCATTACTCCCATTGCTCAACCCCATTGCTCCCATCAACCCCATTGCTCCCATTAACTCCATTGCTCCCATTAACCCCATTGCTCCCCCTGACCCCATTGCTCCCATTGATCCTATTGATCCCATTGACCCCACTGCTCCCTTGATCCTACTGATCCCATTGCTCAACCACATTGCTCCCATTGATCCCACTGACCCTATATATTGCTCCCATTAACCCCATTGCTCCCCCTGACCCCAATGCTCCCATTGATCCTACTGATCCCATTGATACTACTGATCCCATTGCTCCCAT